ATATGAAATGAAAACTAAACATAATGATTATGCTCACTTTTGTACCTAAGTGAAAATCTGAACACGGATTATTGCGACTTAACTCTCCTGTCTACATATACTGCATAATCATAAAAGTTGTGATATTTTTCAATCGAGTGTGATCAATTTGTAGCCGTCGCTTGAAATCAAAATTTTTTTAGATATTACTTTCTATCGCAAGGAATGAGAACATCAAGACATAAATGAATTTCTTTTCTTCTCATCATCTGATCGATTAAGTTCGAAGAAGAAATTAGCTGTTGATCCCTAGTTCTTCGAAGTTAAAAAGTTCATTTCCATTATTCACACACTATGTTAGAAACAAACGACTTGTATACTTAAATTTCGTTTCATTTTCTATCCACTCGACCAAATTAATTAAAGTTGTTAGAGTCTACCAAATTTGGTTTAGTAAGGTACAATTGGTTAAATGACTCGAAAACTAAAAAGTTATTGCAAGTTTATTTTTCATAAGTTGGTCATTTAATTATAATAGTAAGTGACAACATACATTTTAGTTTGCAACTCTAAGTCACTCTGTGTAAGGTATTATATGGCCCAAGGAATTGTGAATACTCCCAAGTAAAATTGACATAAATGTGAATTGCAGTGGAACTAACGCAAGAAGTTCACATCCAAGTTTACACCTTAATCGCAGATATCTTTCACTTGAATTCTTAAGTAATCATTTCCTGAATCACACTTGTTCAATTTCAGACTTTTCTTAAGCAAATCATCTTTTAAGAACTTCAGCAACTTTTTCCGCCGTATAAAAATTGACTCTTCTTTGTGCGTGATGTTTAAACCAACAATCGAGTTTCCATGAATCGTTGTTTACGTGACCTTAGCCTAGAAGAAATTTTGCCTTGGCATTGCTCTGGAATTTGTTTCAGATCTTGTCATTGAACATCTTAATCGAGCTGTCCCAAATCTGAGAACACTTGGGGTTTTACCTTAACAAAACACCGTATTGACACGAGATCTACAGAATATGCCAAAAGAACCTGTAGGTTATTTATTAACAAAGCTTGAGTTCCTAAGTTAAAAGTAATGGGTACAATTCCAAGTTTGNGGAGCATTGATAACACACCTTGCCTGTGCACTCGGCATAACTTTTGGTGTCAAACGTGAAGTATTACAAAGTTTCCAACATCATATTCTTTTCTTAAGAAAAACGTCTGACAGAGAACGCTAGAGAACTCCCTTTAGGGACTGTAACAATGAATGCAGTCAGCTTTTTTCATATAACAAGCAACTCAGTGAAAATAACAATCTATATAGTGCTGGTGTTTTGTGGCGCCATTTTGGCCAACAATCCAAACAACTGCGCGAAAAAAACCTTCCTTTGATGTCTCTTTTTAAAACTTATAAGTATCAAATTTTCAACATTAATTTCCTAAATTGCTTGTCACCATTTCTATGTGCTAAACTCCACATTTGACAATATTGGCAAATTTGGACATTATTCCTTAGCTGCGTAGTTTTTTTGTTCT